GATATTGTCCTCTTTTGGAAGGCCAAACAAAGTAGTTTCGCTTTCACAATGAAACACCGCGCCTTCACGACATGGCGGCAGCAATAATACTACAGTGAGAATAAAAGTTATGCCTTCTTTCTTTGCGTGAACATTTGGGCGGCGTTATGCAAATCTTCCCACATCGTGAGGTAGATATGTGGGGGCGTGTTAGAACGAGCCGTTTTAGGTAGGCGTGGTTGACTCTTAACTTTTATAAAGAATATCTCTTTGGATTTGAGACTTTAGTCTTTGCAACTTTACAGTACATCTTCTTTATGCACCAAGAGCTTGTAACACTCCAAAGAGAAAGGAAAAATTGAAATCGCATCATACGACCCCTTTAACAACATAAGGGCAGATTGATCTGAGCGCAGCTGATGAGAATCAAGAATATTCCAATGTACAAATAAGCATTCCTTTGATTTTTCCGTCCTCATTTTCTTTCCTTGCATCCTAAGGGCGTTGGAGCTAAGACGCGAGGAAAGGAAATGACAATGCACAAATAAGAAACGAGAAGCGTTTCTATGGCAACAACGTCAAAGCTTTCAAGTCCTTGTAGAACTCGTAATTAGATCTTGTAAACTGGGAATGTTCTGAGAGCTTCTGGTGCGTTCAAGGCCTCCTGGGAAGTTCGTATTTAGTTGGCAAGTTGTGTCTCCCCAAATCAACTGGGCATGTCCTGGGGAGACGTTTCAAACTCTGGCACAGAGGAAGGATGCATATTTAATTAAACTACATCAAAACTAATAATTGACTAAATTAATTTAAAATGAAAATGTAAATATTTTTGTCTGCAGTTACTCTGTACGTATAACAGCAAAGGCATCAACATGTACAATAAAAGCAGTGGAATTAAATAAAAGGTAATGATAAAATATCTATGTATATAATATATAACCGAACATATAAGGCTATTGGTTTATAAACTGAAAAAATGTTTCATTCATCCAATTAAAAAAATTTAGGGTAATCATTGCCCCAAGTTATTTATTTTTCATTGGCTCAAGTTAAAAAATATAGATGTGAATCATTACCCAAAAATTTTTTAATTGGATGAATGAAACATTTTTTTCAGTGTATAATAAAACTCTTTCAAACTACATTTCACAGTGACCTCAGTAACCAGGGGAACAGGTTAGTTGATGGTGTATTTTTCTCTTTATCTTTCTAAAATAATAAAGTAATAACCATAGAGTTTGGAGTCTGATAATTGAGTCTGTAGATAACTAGGGTTTTGTCTCTGACGCTCTGAGTGAACAGCAGATGTCCAGCAATCCAACAGGTGCAGTGAAGTGAATGAGGTCAGCTTTACCAAACAGAGCCAGTGTGGGATCACAGGATGAACAATAATGAGAACTGTTTTTCCAGTCTAACAAAGGGTCAGTGAAAGTTAATGTTGTTCATCCACCTCGGGGGAACAAAAAAGTTTGTTTGAATTGTTGAGCTTTTTAAAACTACATTTTTTATGCTACATTAATTGCATTTTAGATAATTGTTCATTAAACTACTAAATACAATAAATTATTAAAAATATGTATTTTAATTCCTGGTTAAAGCTTAGATTTAAAAGAATAACATTCACCATTTCCAACTCTAGTTGTGGAATCTAAAATGAAATTACTATCTGCATATCAAAAAATATTTCATAGCCTAACATAAATAATTATTCATTATGGAACACTTTTACATTGAGAAAGGGTTCTGGAAAATCTATTTGTTATATTAATGTGTATTTATTCAAATATAATGCACATTGATAACAACAACATACCACAGTGTTAAAAAGTAATACAATAAAATTTAGACAGCAAAGCTTCAATTTTCTGAATTGCAATGAGGGACTTTTGAATAATCCATCAGGAATTAAACAAAATTACAGCTCTCTAAACACACAAACACAGTCTTTTGAAATGAAACATAATTCATCACGTAGAGGGAAATCCCTTTGCTTTGACGGTGTCAGTCATGTCTCTACGTCAATATTAAACGCCTTTAAAGGCAGAGTAAGTGATTTCTGGTAGCCAATGTTGATATTTGACATCACCAAAACAAACAGGCCCCTACACCAAAAGGGACTTGCCCCTATTTTGATAGCTCCGCCCCACATATACGTACGCAACCCAGGCAACGATTAGTTCTGTGAAACAAAGCAAAACCAATGTTACACCATGTCTACGGACGTGAGCGGCGCGGCACAACAAATCCCCGACAGAAAACACATCACGAGTAGACACGGCCCTTATTGCTGATTGGCTACAAGTTTGTTTTGCTATTCGGCCCGAATCAGTTTTCTAAAGTGTTTTTGAAAAATCACATACCCTGCCTTTAATCATACTGGATTATCTGTGAATGTGAGACTTTCTCTGCATCATTAAATCCAACTCATATTAACATGCCTCACAGCACTCTGGCACACTCTGAAATATTTGTAAGCCTACCGGCTAGAGAGCTAAGTCTGTGGCACATTAAAACAGCTATTAAAACAGCTGCTTTAAACTAAAATATGTTTTGGTATATTTGACATCACAAGCACAATAGCATCTCATATTAAAAAAGAATACAAAGTCACTTAAAAAAATCATCAGCTCAATTTTGAAATTACGCACAAGTTGGGTGTTTCAATGTAAACAAGAACCGCAAAACACGTAAGTCCAGACACAGTTTCAGAAAACACCGTAATGGATATAATCTATGATGGTTTTGGCTAAATTACAGTCTATATGTGTAGACTGAAAACATTCAGTCCAAAAGTCCAACTGACAAAGCCTGTATCAACCTCAGTGCTTCAAATCATCTACAATTATCAATTAATAAAATTCAGAATGTAACTCCGTATGAATGCAAACTATTATCATGATCTGTTTCACTACACAGCATCTAATTAAAAAACTTCCACTTTAACATTGGGATTGTCTCTCTAAGCGCTGGCAGAGTAATGTGCAATGAGACGCTCGGCTTGAGTCGTGTGGTCTTGGTCCATCTTTGATCCTGATGCCAGTGCCTCCTCTTCCAGCTGTTATGATATACAATCACATTGACTAAAAAGGTCATATTATAGCTTTTTTAATCACTAATCACTTTCAATTACAGATTTACAAGACATTTTTCTACTCCCTGACCCTTAGAATTGGCTGTTTTGAACTGATAAAACATATACTCTGAATGCAATGCAAATTGCTTTGGATAAACATGTCTGCTTTATTCTACCTTTAAGGAATAGTTCACCCAAAAATGAACAAGACACCCAAAATTGCATCCAAGATGTAATGAGGTTGTTTCTTCATCGGAACAGATTGGGAGAAATGTAGCATTCCATCACTTGCTCACCACTGGATGCTCTGCAGTGAATGGGTGCCGTCAGAATGAGAGTCCAAACAGCTGATAAAAACATCACAATAATCCACAAGTAATCCACACCACTCCAGTCCATCAATTAACATCTTGTAAAGCGAAAAGCTGCATTAATTGCCATTAAGACAGTTTTAATTTTAAACTGTTGCTTTTGGCTAAAATACAAGTCCATAATCCATAATATTGCCTTTTCCAGAAGCAACAGTTTGAAGGTAAAATGCCTTAATGATGGATTTGTTTCTTACAAACATGCAGCTATTCACTTCACAAGATGTTAATTGATGGACGGAGTGGTGTGGATTACTTGTGGAACATTGTGATGTTTTTATCAGCTGTTTGGACACTCATTCTGACGGCACCCATTCATTGCAGAGGATCCATTGGTGAGCAAGTGATGTAATGTTAAATTTTTCCAAATCTGTTCCCATGAAGAAACAAACTCATCTACACCTTAGATGGCCTGAAGGGTGAGTACATTTTCATTTTTAGGTGAACAGCTCCTTTAAATGCATAAATGTATATGTAAAGAGCTCAGAACCCTGCCAAGTCATTTCCATAATCTGTTAAGAGGATCACAAAAAATCCCTATGAAAATTATTATGGTTTTAAACAGCAGGTTCATTCAGCTGAGCCGTCTGCATGCATATTGAGAGATGTACCTGCTCTCTGATGTAGGTTTGAGCACAGGGTCCGATGCCTCTTAACTGGAGACCCACAATAAAGCACCACACAGACAGTCCAGCCTCAAGTGTGGTGAATGTAGCACAGGTGAACCACAGAGCAAGAGTTGTGTCCTGGAGGAGAAACAGCAGTTCAGTCTTCACATACAAGATGAAAGTTCAAACTGGTTAACTTATATAAAATTGTTCAAAAACACCAGATGCATTTCTGTAGACTGACTCACATAGATGCGAGTTGCATCAAAAGGACAGTTGACGATGACCAGAGAACGTGCATTCACAGGCATGTTAGTGGAATTACATCCTTTCATGAGCGTGCTCCCGTCGGCTGAAATGGTCATACTGATCGCCAAAATCAGCCCCACTAAACACGCCAGCGAGAAAAAGGCATTCAGAAAGGAACTCACTAACAGACCGATGTGCTACAGGAAGCAGAAGAACAGAGCCGAGTTAAACACTAGAGGGAAAGAATGTGGTATTTTTGCATTGGTATACAGAACAATCATGCTGATAAGGTAGTATGTCCATACGTCCTCTTTTTTACCCAGACATGGCCTGGCTGGGATTTCTAAATCGCCTAAAATGTCCAAGTTTTGGCTTTGTTTTCATACTTGCTGAAGGTAATGACTAAAAAGTAGCTTGACCAATAGTGTGCAGACATTGTATATATTCAACCAATCGTGGTGTGTGAGAAGGTGGGATCTACAGAGAACGGTCAAAGCCATGCAAATACACATACATATAATGTATGAGGACTGTAGAGAACACATTAATAAGAAAACAAAGCCAAAACCTGAACATTTTCGGTGATTTTGAAATGCCGGCCAGGACATGTCTGGGAAAAAGAGAACATATATTCACCCTAGATTAGGCCTACTTACCAATTTCAAGTTGGTTATATTCCTTGACACCAATATTGCAACAATTCCACTTGCAATGCTCTGAGAAAAGCATGTTAACATGATTAGGTGTGAGGACATTCAATGGCATTTTATTCTTATTTTTCTGATTTTGTGGGAAAATGTAGAAATTAAAACTACTCAGGAACCCTAAAAAGTTTAATGTGTTTAAATATGTGTGAAAAGAGTATTATAAGCACTTTTCTAAACAGCTTGAAGGAATAGTTTACCCAAAAACAAAAATTTGTTGACAATGTATTCACCCTTAGGCCATCCATGAACGTGAGTTTATGAACATGAGTTTGTTTCTTCATCGAAACAGATTGGGAGAAATTTAGATCCTCTGCAGTGAATGGGTGCCGTCAGAATGAGAGTCCAAACAGCTGATAAAAATATCACAATAATTCAGTAATCCACACCACTCCAGTCCATCAGTTAATGTCATGTGAAGCGAAAAGCTGCATGCATGTAATAAACAAATCAATCATTAAGACTTTTTTAACTTCAAACAAGTCTTCCATCCATAATAATGCTTTCTCCAGTGAAAAAGATTGTCTCGTCTGAATCAGGAGAGAAATATGCACAGATCAAGCAACCGTTCACAAGCGAAAACAGTCCAAAACAGTTCTAAACAAATATGTTTGTAGATTTTGATGTGAGGGGGCAACAGGGGATGGACTTTTTTCCACTGGAGGAAGCATTATTATGGATTATGTATTATGGACTCATATTTTGGCAAGAAGCAACGGTTTGAAGTTAAAACGCCTTAATGAAGGATTTGTTTCTTACAAACACACAGCTTTTCGCTTTATAAAATGTTAATTGATGGACTGCAGTCGTGTGGATTATTGTGATTTTTTATCAGCTGTCATTCTGACGGCACCCATTCACTGCAGAGGATACATTGGTGAGCATGTGATGTAATGCTAAATTTACATCTACATCTCGGATGACCTGAGGGTGTGTAAAATGCTGCTCAGTTTTTCATTTTTGTGTGAAATATTCCTTTAAGTAAATATGCAGACTTAACTCACACAAAGCACACCCAAAGTAGTAGCAAATCCTTCGATTTACATTTACAGACATGTGACCAGACCCTTTCTGAATGAAAATTCTTGAGATTCAGAAAGCATCACATACTGGAGATTACATGCATGAGTTGAATCAGCATCATTTAGGACCCACAAATGGGACATGAGAGAATATACCGAAGCGCAACCACTCACCAGCAGTCCTGAGGTGACAGAGATGATGTTTGATACGGTATATTCTGTTGAGATCTCATTGCTGGGTTTGGATACGTGGCGTAACACACTGCCATGGACAATGGCACTCAGGATGAAATTAACATGACCAATGACGATGAGGGTCAGTCCTTTCGTCATCAGCCGCCCAGGGCCCTTCTGCTTGTCTAGAATATAGTATACTTTCATACAGTGGTTTTAAAAAATTACACCTAAACAATTTAATTGCATTAGAAAAGAAATACTACTAGACCTTTTCTCAGAACTAATTAAACGTTTATTAACCAGTTTTGCAATGAACTAGTGGCTGACACCAGTGGACTTGATTTATTTTGCAATGTATTGGCATACATTTTAAGTGTTGCTTCAATAAAAAAAATGGCCTTGTAATACGTATCAACAGATTTATTACATAGTTTAGAACATTTAAAGTTGTGTATAAAGTACAAGCCTGACGCAAATCCCATTTTCCTTCTAATCTGCTTTAGCAGGATTTAGTGCAAAATATTGTTCCTAAAGGTTTATCCAGCTGATAAATATTCTTTTCTACAGTGAATAAAACATTAGGAAAATGTAAACATGTAAATGTAAACAGACGCGAACAAATAACCGATTGTCAGACGCTTCTTTTCTCTGGACACCGGACACCGTTCTTTACCGCTTCAGTTAAACTATAAATCACCTGTAATTCTCGCACCTGCAATAAAAAGAAAGAAATGACCGTCTTACCGAAATCACACATATCTGTATCCGCGTATTTGAACTCAGTTTAGAAGGAAAAACTTGGATATCAAACGCAGGTTCCTCCCTTCATAGTCGATGACGTCACGCACGACTCACCTGTACAGCGGAAGTGGGAGGAGCCAGAATACAAACGTCACTCAATGCGAATACAGAAAAGCTCCAATGAATCTCTCTTATTTTGAAGTGGAAAAAAAAAAAAAAAAAATATATATATATATATTGTATTAATGCATATTAATATACACATTTTTTATTAATACTCTATTAATAATCGTTGTCATAAAGATGTTGTCTCACATTTCGTTGTCACAGATTTTCTCTTTAATTCTCAATTTTAATTTTGAAAGTTGCAAAAATGATTTTGCTGGATTATTGCATGATATATGCATTTGATAAAGTTTAATTTGTTTTGAAATAGTTAATCAATATATAGCCTAATACTATGATACTATATATAAACTTATGCCTTATCTTTACTTTTTTTTTTGCATTGCATACTGCCACTGTATTGGTCAAACTGGCATCTGGGAATACTCTAGCTTTCCCTTTTGTTGTTCATAAGGGTTTTACCAGTGATGCATCTCACATGACCAACGCAACGCTCTATCCAAAAATAGATTTAGTTTCATGACACTCACTGTAGCTCTAAAAACTGTCTGGCATCTGTCTGTCCATGCTAACTATTCAAACTATGACAGCACTGTTCTACCGAGACGCATAAAACTGAATTCACCGGAACACCGGTCCGCGGCCACACCCCCGCTCATGGTAAATAGAAAATCCTTTAAATTTCTTTCTTTTTTTTTTTTTTACTGATCATTTCTGAAGTCACAATTTAGCAAAAGTAAAATTGAAAAAAGGAGAGAAAATGGCAATTATTCATTTATGAAGTAACTGGGGGGGAAAAATGTAAAAACGAACGTTTGCTTTCATTTGTTTTATTTTTGCATTTGCACCACATGGCCTGAAAATTGAATTGTGAAGAGTTACACGGACCAAATGCCACTGTACAAAGTCCTGTCATATCTGAATGCCACACCCCACAATATCAGCACTAAGCAAATATTAGAGTAGCGAGGACAAAGCACAGGCACATCAGGTAAACAAGATGATAACAGAATACTGGAAAAGGAATAGGCAAAATTTACAGAACACATAAAAACATGGACATTTTATTGTCAGGTAATATCATATTGCATTAAATTGATCAACAAGTCAAATCATACGCCTGGGTCTTATTTTTGGTAAAGAAATAAGATGGAAATTAGCTTTTGTCATCTTGAAACCCCCCAAAACACTTGTGTGATTTGTTAAGTTTTTTTAAATTTTTTTTGTAAAATACCAATTTCTCACTTATTTCTTTAGCAAAAATAAGCATATAAATATAAAACAATGTAGCCTATTATCAATGCATAAGGAAACCTATAACCCCAGAGCCACAGCGACCCCTTGTGGCGTCCAGACGCATGCAGGGGTCATCTGAAGGTCACAGCACTGCAGATGCTGCAAATCCTGTCAGACCGTCATAAATGTGTGCGTAAAGTGAGACAAACACACAAGCGCAGTATAGAAAGTCAGAATGGTATTTTTATTTGAACTGTACTGTATGCTAAATGTTCACCTCGGTACAATAAACAAATACAAATACTCACACTAAAAACCAAATCTACAGTTCCGGAACCAACCTGACTGGAGTTGGCCGAGGACCTCTGAATATTGCATATAAACAACACAATGAGCTCCGAACAGTGCGCTTCCACATAAAGAACCCAAAATAAAAGGAACAGGGAAGGGATCAGAGGAAAGTATGGTTACAAAAACATTAAACTAGACAATACAAATCTAATTTAACTGCCATACATTCAACACCAAAAACGCACTGGATGTCAGATCTATAAAAATACCTCGGGTAGGCTGACGGGAAGGAGCGAGTATTTAGACGGGGCTGTCGTGCGTTTTGGAGTAACCGTTAAATGTTCTTCCTGAGACAGGGGCGGTTTTTCACTCCAGTCCCTTTTCTATGTGAGCTGCCATCTATTATTATAATTGTTTTTTTTTTAAAGCAAACACAAAATCAAAATCATGTCCCTCACGGTGACGTTCACTCGAATCCAAATTGCCATTTTTGAAAACTGACATCTTAAAACCCGATGCAGTTTGCATTTCAAATCCTGAAAACTCATTTTGAATCGAAATGAATGGATATATCAGTAAAATGGTGTGCTCTTGGGTCTTAAAGAAGAGTGGTTTCTGAGCTGGTGCCTGTTGAATTTGTGCAATTCTGTAAACAAGAGGTCAGCTATGCCAAATGTTGGAAAAAAGCTAAGAATTCATCTTCATTTTTGCTCAAGAACAGCCTTTACCTCTGTTCTCTTAATAGATACACTGTATATATATATATATTTTTTTTTTTCATTATCAAGCACTTTTAACACTGAAACAAAGACAAGCACTAATTCTCTGGATGTAAAGAAAGAAACTAAATTGAAACTCTTGTGAGATTTGTTTACGTAAATAAGGCGAGGAGGAAGAAGACAAGTGCATGGCATCTGATAACTGGCATCGTTTTGAACTCTGTAAGTGGTGCACGAGGAAAGAGGCGTGGTTATGTAGTGCCACGCCCCCTGATAAGAAAGCACCGCCCACCTGCTATAAAACAGGTGGAAATGATGTCCTCCCCTCTCAAGAACAACAGAAACAACCTGGGTTAAAACGAAAATGAATGGAAAAACACTAAAACTCGAAAACAAGATGGTGGAAAGACGTCCGTGAAGCATGTCTCCGGTGCAGCTAGCGGCAGCTGATTGCTTGTTCACCCGTTCACTGTCTCTTAGTCTCTTTGATTTGCAGTTTTGCTGAATGACTGTCGGTCAGTGGTCAGGTGGTTATGACTTGGCGAGGTGTTCTCTATGGTCGTTGTGTTTGAGGAGCTGGGTGGGGGACGGGGCGTGGCTGGGCGGCAGGGGATGGGCCCCTGGCATCCCGCCGGGCATCATGCCCTCTATCTGCCCACCCATGCCACCAGGAGACATACCCATCGCACCAGGAGGAAACCTGAGAAAATACAGAGAAAATAGCTTTATGCTCTGCCCTTTACCACATGATTACAGACGCAAAAGCTTCACTTTGGCTGAGAACCTTTTTAAATGTATACTCTTGCAAAAGTTTGGGCACATTTGATGGAAATGTTTCTCATGTTTCTTAAATTATTCGATCTCAAGACTTCAGCTTAAATGCTTAAAATTAATTCTGCAGACAAAAACAAATCATTACTATATAACTCTGCCATTCAACAGTTTGGGGTCAGTAAGATTTTAAAGAAATTAACACTATTCAGCAAGGATGCATTAAAATCAAAGGTGACAGTAAAGACTAATATAATGTTACAAAAGATTTCTATTTCAAATAAATGTTATAATCTATTCATCAAATAATCACGGCTTCTACAAAAATATGAAGCAGCACAACTGTTTTCAGCATTGATAAAAACAATAAATGTTTCTTGAGCAGCAAACCAGTATATTAGAATGATTTCTGAAGGATCATGTGACACTGGAGTAATGATGCTGAAAATTCAGCTTTTCCATCACAGGAATAAATTACATTTTAAAATACATTTAAAAAACGGTTATTTTAAATTGTAATAATATTTTACAGCATTTTTTAAAAATAAATGCAGCCTTGGCAAGCAGAAAAGACTTAAATGTATCCATTTTACTGATCTTAAATGGCTAAATTTTAAAAGAATTCTTCATTTAATAATGTTTAAAAACATCAAAATGAGAATATACTTGTATCTATAAACAAATTTTAAAAAAATTTAAATAATGCACGTTAAAGATTACATCAAGAAATCAACATATCAACATATGTAGAAACTGATTAATTATACAAAAAATATTTATTTCTAAACTTGACAATTAATGGATAACTTATAGTCATTACGTTCACATTATCATGTATTTCTTTATTGATTTCTTTCTTGATTCATCAGGTACAATTACCGAATTCTCAAATAATTTTTCTTAAATTCTCAAATAAAAGTGGCACAAATGGGCCCCAAAATCAGTCTTATTGAACACAGCAAAAAAGGCATGAACAACATAACTAAATACATGAAGTAAATATTATGTATAATTAAAATAATAGTAGAATAGTAGGCATCACATGATATTTGCATGTTCTATGAGAATGAGAAATGTAAAAATAAAAGGTGACGAATCAAAATTAGGATATGGTTGATGTTTCAGACATCGTTTTGTGTCATTTAGAGATATTTGGACTGTGTCTTGAGCTCTGTGTTTCAGTACGCTGTAAGTAGTTACCTGTCATTGTTTAGGTATACATTTTGTCTTGCAGGCCGCCAGGAGAAACGGCTGGTAGCGGCTGGGCCACTCTGCTGAGCGAGAGAAGCAATCAGACTGAGCAACACAATCGGGGCTGGTTTGTGTGTGTGTGTGTGTGTTTTTATGTGTGGGTTGGAGAGTTAAATGCATAAGAATGAGGTGTTAGTTTAGGGAAATGTTCAGAAGGGTCATAGCGGGTAAATCTAGAGGTGATGCTGTCGAAGTTAATTTATGTGTGCCACAGGGACAGACGGCGGTCTCGTTTGAGTCTATTTGCATATGGTGATCTGGAGGGATAACACTCACTACACAGAGATGAATTAATGAAGCACGTCTGCATAGCTGAACACAGCCGCTGTACTGCTTGGCTGCTCATACAATAGAATCCATGAATTTGTTGAGTATTTCATCTTACAGAGAGGAAGGAGTGATCTTGAGTCCAGTGGGGAAAAGAGCAGGGATTGGAAGGAATTTAATTATTACGGTTTTGATTCAGATTTAATATGATGATTCAAGTTTATCAACAATTTGATTGATTTAGTCCTTTTATGGCAGTTATTCCAATGAATATGACTTTTCTATGACTATTTTTGTAACATTTAGATTTTTTTTTTTTTTTTTTACATATGTGACCCTGGACCACAAAACCAGTCTTAAGTCGCTGGGGTATATTTGTAGCAATAGCCAAAAATACATTGTATGGGTCAAAATTATTGATTTTTCTTTTATGCCAAAATTCATTAGGATATTAAGTAAAGATCATGTTCCATGAAGATATTTTGTAAATTTCCTACTGTAAATATATTAAAACTTAATTTTTGATTAGTAATATGCATTGCTAAGAACTTCATTTTGGACAACTTTAAAGATGATTTTCTCAATATTTAGATTTTTATGCACTCTCAGATTCCAGATTTTCAAATAGTTGTATCTCGACCAAATATTGTCCTATCCTAACAAACCATACATCAATGGAAAGCTTATTTATTCAGCTGATATATATTATAAATGGTCCAGGGTCACATATTTATTATTAATTAAATAATATTTATTATACCATTTATTAAACTATTACTATTTACTATTTAGTATTGTACCATTTTTTTCTGAATGTGTCTCACTGGCAAATAGTTCTTCTGGTTTTAAGATAATCATAAATCTTACCAAATTATTTTAGATTTATACTGACAACACACAAAAAAAAACAACGATTTGCCAATGTGGTAAGAAAAATAAACATAATACAAAATATATTCTTTCTAAATTAACATCACATGCAGTTTTACTTTTAAGTATATTTATAGTTTTAGGAACAGTTCAGATATTTAAAAAATATATCAAATTAATCAAATCAAATTTAATTTGATTTATAAAATTGGCAAAATTAAAAAATAAAATGAAATGTATTACAATTAATTAAAAATATTCATTATCATTAAAAATAAATTAAGAAAATTATTTAAAAGGTTAATTACATCAAATTTTAGGACTGAAAGATTAACAGAACTGAATGCAATGAAAATCATTTGGGTCCAGTTCTAAATAAGAACCAGTTCTCAATCCTAGAAAAGAGGGTGTTTGAGATGGTAAAAAACTCAGGGATGGACAGTAAAAGGATTAGCAAGATAAAATAGGTGAAGTATGAAAAAATAGATGGCGTTCTGTGCATGTTTAAGATCTCTTATGTTACCTGTAGGCTCCGCCGTTGAGCTCCGGATGTACCTGCTGCTCCATCACCCCCCACGGAGCCGTAGTCACAAAAAACTCTTTGTTGATGCAGTTTCTGAGACTATCTGGAATACGACCTGAAAACCAGAACAAACCCGAGACATGATGACTGATGTACAATAGGATGGATAGTTTATAAAAAGAACTAGATTTACATTCCCTGAAGGAAGTACAAGTGCTCGCTAGGCAGCGAAAGACTAATGTTTGAGGTAAAAAAAGAAAGTTTAAAAAATTTTGCGATAGAGATAGAAGTGAGAGAAAGAGAGATAAATCAGGACCCCCCCCACTTCACAGCTCACATGCAATTAACCATAATTAAGCATGTAGCCCATTGATAATCACAATGTTGTACGCAAATTCTATGATGATATCCTCATGAGAAGTGGTTACATTTTGAATAGCAAACATTCTAAGAAGTTGTACCGGTGATGGCCCTGCGGATCTCAGTGGCCGCTGCCTCTCTCATCTCTAGTGAGGCCTGCTCACTGTACCACGCCGTGTGAGGGGTGCAGATCAGATTGGGCGCGTCCTTCAGAGGACCCTGAGAAAAACTGAGAGAAAGACATCTCATTTTGCGCACCAAATCTCATTTTTACTACACATTGAACTTCACTGGTCATGTGCATACGCTACCGTCAGTAAGATTTTTAACATGTTTTTGAAAAAGTCTCTTATGCTCATTGGGCTGCATTTATTTGATTAGAAATACTGTAAAAACAGTGAAATATTATTACAATTTAAACAAACTATTTTCTATATGAATATGTTGTAAAATGTGATTTATTCCTGTGATGCAAAGCTAGGATGCACTAATCCTAATTTTGCATATTATATAGAAATAATAGCGTGCAAATGTAGGTGCAGCTGAAGAAATGTTTGGAGTTGCAGCAAAGTAACACGGAGATTGGATTACAATTAGGATGTCATTCCAAATGTTACCTGAAGGGTTCAGACTCGTGAACGTCCAGGGCGGCCCCCCGTATCCTGCCCTCTTTGAGAGCCTGAGCCAGGGCTTTTTCATCCACCAGACCCCCTCGTGCTGTGTTGACTAGAAATGCTCCCTGTCGCATCTAACAAAACATCATACATGATGTTCACACAACAGCCACTAGATGGCGCTCATGATAGCAGGAATGGGTTTAATGGGCCGTTTGTGGGTAATGTACCTGTTTGATGGTGAAGTCGTTGATGAGGTGGTGATTGTGTTCGTTTAGGTTGCAGTGGAGAGACACACAGTCGCTCTGGTACAGGAGGTCCTGTAAGGTGTAAACTCTCTGGACGCCCAGCGATCGCTCTAAACCGTCTTGCAGGTACGGGTCATAAAAGATCACATTGAAGCCAAATGCTTTCGCTCGAACAGCCACTGCCTGTCCCGATCGGCCTATGAGACAAAGATGGCATATATAACTTGTATGGTGCTTTTTTTTTTGTCGTTATTAGAGCTTGGAAAACCTGTTGTCACCACTGACTTTAGTTATATGAAAAAAAATTTCACACGAGTGACCTGACTAGATGATGACATCATTTATTTGAACTATTCCTGTAGTATATGTTCATGTCATACTGTATCTACCGGTCAAAAGCTAACACTTAATCAAATTTTTCTTGAACGCTTGAAATTAGTCTTGTATACAGTGACAAATTTTGCCTATATATGAATATCAACATATGAAGATTTTTGATCTCTACATAATTCCCATAATTTAATTTGCATTATTTCATAGTTGTGATGACTTTGCGGTTACAAAAACAGTAAATAAGATTATGTTCATTCAACTAAATCAGTTTATTTAATATAATAAATAATAACAATTAGCTTGATTTTATGATTATGATAAATAATTAGTTCAATAATAATAGCAATAATTTTCATTAAATGAAATTAGCAAGCATTATTATTATTATTATATGCTTACCACAATTGCATAACTGTCATTTTAGTATTATTTATATACAATTATAGTATTTATTAATATTTTGACTAACTTTAATTTTTATATTGAATATAATTTTATATTTTAATATATTTTATTTTTTATTTCAGTTTTCATTTTAAAGTATAGTTTAGGTTTTAGTAATTTGTAGTAAATTTGAATTAAAATTTGAATTCAGTTGTAGTTTTAATCATTTTTGCAAGTCTATTTTTGCAAACGTTTTTATTTTTATGCTATGTAATAATATTTATATTTTATGTAATACATTATTTCAATTAACAAAAACATTTTTTTATAGTTTTAGTTAATAACAACAACACATTTGTAAAATATTGTAACGTTTTAGTGTTTCTGTCCCTCACCAAAGCCAATAAGTCCGAGTGTTTCTCCTCTGATGCGGGCGGCCCCTGACGCCACCTCTCTGATCTGCTCCACGCTCTGGACCCGTGTGCCCTCACGCATGGCCTGGTACAGCCAGGTGTTCCTCCTGTACAGGTTCAGGATGTGGCAAAGCGTTGAGTCTGCCGTCTCCTCCACAGCAGCTGATGGAATATTACACACCGCAATACCTGCAGACATGCACTAATGTTAGGCAACATGAAAAGATTCATATTTACATATCAGAGCACTCAATAAACCAGATTCAAATGGCCTCAGATGATCTATTAACGCTCCCTGATCCCGTCTTCTCTCCATTCATGGATTTGACCTGTATTAAGCTGTATCTGTAATATTTCTCCTTTTATTCTAACCATATAAACTGTCTGTCCCAGAGGTACAATTAGCTCTCTCCTGTACCTCCTTCTGTCTCGGTTTTCAAACTTTCAAACATCCGACTTTTCTTCACTACATGCAGAATACTTTGTGTTTCTGAACAAAGATTAAACCTGGTTTCTCAGTTAAGCAGTATTTGATTTCAGTAGCATGTTTTCATTCAACATTTTATTTGCTATGGCTTTTCACAATATCATCTACCATTCAGGTTTCTCACTGTCATTAATTAGGTGTATTTTATTGTCCAGAAAGCTGCTAAAACAACATTGCACCTGATTTTTTGTTATGTATAATGCATTATGTGTCATGCATTATAT